TAGAGCAGGAAAGGTTAGTCTATGCAAGTTTCTCACGGAAGTGAAATTAAGTCTTTGTGTGCTTTAATGCGGTTGGATATAAATATATATGTATAAAATAATTTTAAAAAAATTTTTGTTCGCCTAATTCGACTCCACCTCCGTTAAAACGTCTAAATTTGAATTTTATAGGAAACTGGGTTCTAAATAATGTTGATATTGAGTGATAATTACCACCGTTTGTTGCAGATAATTTATAATATATATATATTTTATATTTTCGAATATCCCAAAAATATCTTTAGTAATATCTTCACGTCATAAACTTTCCTGCAAGCTACCTATCGGTTAAATCACCGATTAACTACCCAACAGCGCTACCAAAGGTTTCTGTTAAAATTCCTAATAGTTTCCTCAGGGTCAATTGACAATTCTAACCGAAACTCTTGTGTACGTGTGATCGTTCATCCCTTTCTCACGCAAAGCCCTTATGACTTCCAGAGTGTGTATGTGTTAGTTTCGGCTCTAATTCTTTCAAAGAACTGGAGTTTCGGTAGCCGTGACTTACTGGATGTTCATCACATACAAAATTCCCGGTCAAGAAGTTTTAAATATGCTCTATACCATATATAAAATTTCTATATTCAGCCTAAATGCAGGCAACACTTTTTCAGTTTGTGGAACCCGTTTGAAATATCAGGTAGCAGCAGAAACATTTTTAAATAGTATGTTCAACAATTAATGTAGGAAAAGCTCTAGTGTCATAATTTCAACCAATAATCTAATTCCTTCACTCTCTTTCCATTTCTAGGCAACGTTCTTACTGAAAGGAAACTTACAATATTGAAATCATACAAAAAAATTGTGTATTTTCAAGATATTTTTTATAATAAATCAGTATTAAAAGAACATTATTTTTAAGTCTAAATATCGTAAAATTTCGTATATCCAAGCTTTATTAATATTTTCAATTTTATGGTTTCCTATATTATTTGTTATTTATTACAAATCCCAATTTATAGTTTTGACCTTTATGAACAACTCTTAAATATTTCTGAAAATAATAATTTTTTTCTAAATTTTCCTTTTAGTTTTGCATAAAACTTCTGCTTAGCGATGGTGCTGCAAAGGAGTATACACATAACAGTTTATTTTTAGCATCCGCTGTAGAAATATTATAATTTGATACTCAGTTGCATATAATTATAAACTCAAACATTTTTTCCTACAATTTTCTTCTCTTACCCAATTCCGAATCCGATCCATAAATCGTTTGAATGAATCCATACGCCTTAGAGCCATGATGAAGCCACTGCAAACTGTTGAAATCAACACAAAAAGTCGATGAAATAAAACACCGCCATTAAAGCGGCCCTGACAGCAGGTAAACATTGAGGCGCACACAAGAGACACACACGACAAACAGGTGGACGGAAGAGATGATGGATCGAATGTGCATTGGACACGAAAGTCCCATTACATGTGAAAATGGGACGAGCGGTGAATGTGAATAGAAACACACGGCGGAGAGGATAAGAAATGCACTCGCCGACACAAACAAAACAGCATT